ATGAGTGTGTTAATTCAACTGTGTGTGTGTGTGTGTGTGTCAAACTTCCAGCACCACTGACTGCCGTTTCTTCACTTTCATGTTTCCGTGTAGCCGAGTGTGTGTGTGTATATGTGTGTTAATTCAACTCTGTGTGTGTGTGTGTGTGTGTGTGTGTGTGTTTTCCAGCACCACTGACTCCCATTTCTATACTTCCATGTTTCTGTGCAGACACCGACTGTGTGTGTTGTGTGTGTGTGTGTCATACACCTGCTCCAAGTCCTTCACATGCACAGCTCAGGGACACCAGCTCCGTCCACCACACGGTTCTTCCCCGGGTGTCTCAGGGTGGACATCACCAAAGGAAATGAGCTGAATAGCTGGCCTGCAAGCCCACCTGGAGGCCTCACACGGAAGATAGGCCTGGCCACTGGCTTCCAAAGCCCACAGGAAGCCCCCCCACCTCAACCGCTTTCCATCGCCATATCCCGGCACCCACATCTGGGGGAGCCCCTGAGACAGCGGGGACCATGGAGTCAGCCTCACCTGTCAACAGCTAACACCTCTGAGCTTTCCTGTCGCTTGATCCGGGGAGGGGCCGGTCTGGCGCTAGCCGGCCGAGGTGTCTTTCTGAAGCAGACAAGCGAGACATTCCAGCTAGGACGGGTGAACCTGGCCATTGCCAGCCCTGGTCCCAGGGCATCAGCAGCACCCTCGGGTGGCCGTGCCCTGCAGAGTACAGCCCCCTCCCACCGGGATCCAGAGGCTAAGAGGGGCCCCTGCTTAATCTTAGTTGCTGGTAATGCCAGGGTGTTACTATAACTATCAGAAATAAAAGCATGGTGTAGTTTAGCCGTAGGCGCAGACTCACTAGGCCCCCAGAATGCTCAGAACTGAGTCAGCAGCAAAGGGGGTTCAGTGCTAGCTTTACCGCTCGTACAAGTACGTCCTCAGGGTTAAGCCCGAGTGTGAAGTGAACAGCCAAGTTACAAAGTAAGACTGAGGGCAGTGCTCGTGGTGTCCGGCTGCAGCCTCCCCGACCCCACTCCAGGATAAACTAGCCTTCCAAGGTGATGGGGCCAAAAGCCAGACCTGAGGCTGGACGCCAGCTCGCTGGGGACTTCCGCGTTCTCGGGCACCTCAGACTTCTCTTGGTCCGCAGGCCCCACTTCTCTCTCTAAACAGGAGACAAGTCAGTCACCAACTGCCGGAGGAAGACCCTCTGTGCCCGTGACAGGACACGACAGGCTTCGCAGAGCGGAATTTGGAGGGGACGCCAGTATCCATGTTCAGGAACCCTTTGCTGACACGTCGGTCAGCTAGCTGCGAGGCCCAAGATAATCTCGGCCTGAGGAAGGGGACGGGCGTGAGAGCCAGCACCACACCACCGCCACGACGCAGAGACTGTCACTACTGCCACAGGACGACACATGTGGTAACTATGTGCACACACAACGGGCTGCAGAAAGCTCATGGGGAAACTCCATGCCCGGTCTGTTCTGATCGCCCCTGCATGCAGGACGAGTCCTGGTGCCAGTGCTTCTGTGCTGGCCAACCTCAAGGCCAGCAGTTCGAAACCATGAGCCAGCTCCTCAGAAAGACGGGCTCACTGCTGCTCCTGTAAGGATTCAGTCTCAGACACTCACAGGGGCCACTTGCCCTGTGCGACGGGGTCGCTGGGGTCAGCACCGCCGCAGCAGCAGGGAGGGCATCTCGTCTGTGGGCATTCACTGAACCGCCAACAGTGAATCAACACCATGCGTTCTACTTTTCCTGAGCTCCGGGACTTAAAAGGGGCTTTGTTTTACCTTTGGCTCTGGACCACACCAATTATCATCTTCACAGAGTTTTCTTATTTTGATGAGATGTCCAAATGAATAAAATAACTAAATTGACTCCATTATTAAAAGTAAAAGAGCTTTCTATTTCAGAGCAGCGGTTCTCAACCTGTGGGTCTCGACCCCTTTGGGCGTCGAATGACCCTTTCACAGGGGGCGCCCGTGATGAAGTAGCAACGAAAATAATTTTCTGGTTGGGGGTCACCACAACATGAGGAACTGTATGAAAGGATCGAGGCATGAGGAAGGTTGAGAACCACTGTTTAAGAGTGTAATAAAAATAGAACAAAGGAACTTTTTATTCTGCCTTATTTTTATTGCACTGGAAATGTAATTTATACTGAAAAGATATTTACGCTGTGGGGGAAACCTAAAATGTGTCCTTTTGGAATAAAGCCTTACACCATAAGCCCCAGGTATCTCTCCTGACAGTGAGCGACTTTCATGAACATACCGTGATGGTATGAATTATAAACCTGAGGATGCACAGTAACAGTGCCCTGACACACACGCTCACAAGGACACACACGCTCACAGGGACACACACGCTCACAGGGACACACACGCTCACAGGGACATACACGCTCACAGGGACACACATGCTCACAGGGACACACATGCTCACAGGGACACACACCTACAGTGACCCCACACGCTGACAGGCTTCCGGCCGTTTCTTACCTGCATCGCTGGCAGAGTCCCCTACAAGAAAGCATATCAGAAAATCAACATTTGGGTCAGGAAGCCCCAAAACAGCAAACGTGCATTAGCAGAGCTAGTGGGGAGTGGGGTGGGGGCAATGCCTGCGGGATCTGCTGGGCTACAGTGGCCCCTCACCACAGAGAATGGGATGGGGAGGGGCCACACTGGCCTGGGGTGTAGTCCCGAGACCAGACAGTGCCAAGGGCAGACTGAGGGCCTTGGCGACAAGAGGTCAGCAGGGCCTGAGGGCCCTGGACCAGAGACCGGATGGAGACAGGCAGCATGGGGCCCAAGGTTGAAGCTGGGGCTCTTGGGACCAGCCCGAGAGATGGAGCAGGCACAGAGGGTGGGCACTCCGGCATGCTGCGTGAGTGGCAGGAGGGGCCCTGACAAGGCCGGCTCACTGCAGTCCTGTGTGCTGAGATGCAGATGGGGTCCCCAAAGTCCAAGTCCCCAGCTTTTATCCGTACACACCCACCATCGGGGTGTCTAGGGGCTGGGGGAGATGTGGGTTCACAAGGCGCTCAGACAGCACCGAGAGGCGGTGGCATGTTCTCACACGGGGACACCATTGGGGAGGACACACGGACATTCCCTGACCCCATGGACACGTCCTGCCACTGGCCTCCTGACTCCTCAACCCTCCCACCCCGAGCAACGCCATCCTCACTGAAATGCCCCCCCCCCTTTGGTTTCTGTGATGCCCGCTGCTACTCTCCTGAGAGCCTCACCATGGGCCAGACACTGTACCCCAAGGGCTACAAGCGACCGCCTAGACCCACCCACCCCAAGGCAGCAGAGCCACAGCATGTTGAGTCCCTACCAGCGATGCCAACTCCAGCTCGGCAGCACCCAGGAACCTGTCATCTCTCCCACTACCCACCATGTCTCCCCCGGTCCCTCCTCCGCCTGCCCCTCCTCTAACCCCTGAAGTGTAGCAGGGTGCTCTCTTCAGCACCACCGGCCCCGCCGCCCAGTCATCGTACTAGACTGCCAAGGGGGCCCTCAGGGCTGGGCCCTAACCAGCCCTCCATCCACTTGGCCCCATGGCCCCACCCAGGGCACCTGCAGTCCTGTCTCCAAAGAGGCTGTCCTCACCACTGCTCTGTCTCTTCCTGGGGCAAGACGGGGCCACGTGGTCGGAACAGTGCGTGTGGACACGTGTATCCTGACCACGCACACCCAGCAGTCAGGACTAGCCCGCCACACCCTGCGTCCACCATCCCGAGGCGTGGCCATGCCTGCATGGCCCATGTTCCCGGGAGAATAGAGCTGTGACCTAGGGTCCCATGTCGGGGCGGAGGTCTGAGACAAAGGTGGAGCAGAAGTCAGCTGCCAGCAGGGTCTCCTGAGCTGCCACTCTGAGGAACCGCTGCAGAGGCTGCAGCAGGGCAGTCGCCTGGGGCACTGCTGGGCTAAGGTCCCTCAGGCAGGATCCACAGCAAGCACGGAGCCCACACAGGCCCCCTGGGGGGCCACACAGGAGGGAAAGGCCCGCGACCAGGCATCGCCCCTGATTCCACTCCAGCTGACAGAAAGAACCAAGCTGTGGCCAGGGCCTCCCCGGAGGAGTCGAGAGACTGGTCCCCGGTGGGTCCAAGTGGACCTGCAGCGCAAGGGGTCCCCCACAGCTCCGCCTTCCTCTGGCGAGGCATGGGGAAGGAGTCCCCCTTACCTTTGGGCTTTGCTGCCGGCCCAGCCAGGAGGCTCTCTGGCCACAGCATGGCGGCACTGTCGCTGGAGACACTGGTGGCAGGAGGATGAGCATCTTGGGCCCCTGACACGAGACAGGGCAGGGCCAGCCACTCAGACAGCCCCATGCACCCACCACCGCCACTGCCCCACTGCCCACTGAGCTGGTGAGACCAGGGTCCCCTACACTGAGGCAGGGGAGCCCAGACTAGACTGGTGGGAGTGGGGCCCCACATCAAGGCAGGGGAGCCTAGACCAGACTGGTGAGACCAGGGTCCCCCATACCGAGGCAGGGGAACCCCTCCAGTTCCTATATCTGGGAGCAGCAGCCCCACAGTGGTCTGGCCCCGGGGCTCAGAAGCAGCGGCTTGGCTCAGGAGAAGCAAAAGGAGACGCCAAGCCCTTTGCACACAGGCTCCAGGGTGGGGGTGGGGGTAAAGGGGAGGACTGCTCTGCCCACCAGAGACCCCAGGACAGTTGTGTGGGGTCCCATCGGCACTCAGGATGGGGGAGGGCACTAGAAGTCCCTCAGGGAAGGGTTTCCAGCAGCATTTGTGGGCAGGGGACAGCACAGTGTGGGGACGCTGCTCACGGCCACCAGGGGGCAGCCCGAGCTCGGGCTGTGACTTCCCAGCAGCCTGGCTGAGCCCTGGCCCCCCAGGACTCCTCTACTTTTAAGTGACAGTTCTCTTTCTGGGGTGACCCGCTGGGCTGCCAACCCCAAGGTCAGTAGTTCAGACCCACTAGCCTCTCCACAGGAAAAAGAAAGTTTTCCACTCTGTAAACAAGTCACCGTCTTGGAAGCCCACAGGGGCAGTTCTACCCTGACACAGGGTCACGGACAGGACTCGAGGGCAGTGAGGGTTTTGGTTTAGATGGGAGCCCGCTTCTCCCAGAGTAAAGTTAGCTCTGTGTGCCTGATCTGGGTGCTCTGTGGCCCTTTCAGGAGCCTGCCAGGTCTGTGGTTCAGACCCAACCCCTTGCTTTTGGGAGAAAGAGGAGGCTGTCAGGTCCCATCGAGATTGACGTCTCTGAAACCCTGCGGGGCAGCTCTGCTCTGTCCTGCAGGACCACTGTAGTCTGAGGCCCCCTCCCCCACCACGAGTAAGCTTCAGAGACATGCCTAAGGGGACCAGGGCTCCTCCCCTCGCCAGCCTGGCCAGCCGGCATTCAGGGTGCCCATGTCACTGCCCTGGGACCATGTCCACACTGTGCACACAGAACCCGAGCTCAGAGCTGCCCTCGGCCCCACTGCCACACCCTCATCCTGGCTACAACATGCCCCCCATCTCTCTCTCCATCTCTCTCTCTCTGACTCTCTCTCTCTCTCTCTCACTCTCTCTCTCTACCCGCCTGCTGCCTGGCTCCCAGCAGTGCCCTGTCGCCCAGGGACACCACGCCTACCCGTCAGGAGGAGCCTCTCTGTCCCTGCTGGTCACCACGTGTTCCCGTCATCCCAGTGGCCCGCCCTGGCAGCAGGCCCTGCTGTGCCCACGAGGACCAGAGTGCAACCCCCCAGAGAGGGTGTTCCCCGAGGGACAGGTTGGGCAGCGGTGGGTGCTCACTGCTAACTCACAGGTCTCACCCCTGGGGTCAGGAGTCCCTTCGGACCCTATAGGTACATACTGACGGCATGGACTGAAGAGCTGAGGCCAGCGCCCCACGGTCCCATTGAAAACGCAGCCCCTCGGGACCAGCTGGGGTCGTGGGCAGCTTTGCAGGGGCCGGGAGCAGACGCCCCTACAGCCTGTCCGGTGGGGCGTGTAGGGGAGGGGGGGAGATTAACACTAAGGGTGCTCCACCGGACCAGCCACATCCGGGCTCCACACAGACGGCACTGCCCGTGGCGGGGAGCCTGATGGGACTCTGAGTGCCGTGCAGGCAGAACAGGTGAGGCCTTGCTGGCTCTGCTCGGCAGCCACCTCCGTCAGGTAAGGGGGTGCACAGAGGCATCAAGTGCAGCCCACTCCCTGTGCTTTGTGCTGAGCCCTGGGCCCCTGGGAGGGTCTGGGCGAGAGGAGGGGCCCCGTGCTGAGCCTCAGGTCCCACGGGAGGGTCTGGCTCTCGGAGGGGGCCTTACCTCCTTCTGGGGCTGCCGTGGCCTGACCTGCTTCGCTATCTGGTCCGCACGCTGCCAAGGCAGGCTCTGCAGCTCTAGACGGGACACTCCCTTCCTTTCTTCCTGACATAAAACAGTGACACCAGACCCGCTGGGCCGGCGGGGGCCGGGCGGCTTCGCTTAGGTGTGACGGGGCTTGGTGGAGGGCAGGGTACCCTGCAGGGTCTGCCCCGTCTGGTTCAGTGGGCAGTCCTCAGACTCTGGGGGACCCCAGGCACCCCCTCCCAGCCCCAACCTGCCTCCCCCGTGCTGCACAGACCCCCCTAGTTCACCGGACCCTGCTGAGCCACATGCCTACAGACCTCACTGCCCACCCCCACCTTGGCTCAGTCTCCAACCTACTGGGGCCACTTGGCCCACCATCCAGCTTGATCAAAGTCACTGGGCTCAAACAAGGGTGCCCCCAAACAGCCTTCTTCCACCCCTTCTTCCCTCAGCCTCCCAGCCCAGCGCCCACCGTCAGACCCTGAGTCACCTGGGTCCAGCCATTGCCTCTCACCTGGATGCTCCAGTCCCAACTCTGTCCCCCACCACCCACCAAGGGCCCTGCTCTTATTTACACCCAAGCTCCCAAGGCCCTGTCACCGGGCCTTGCCTACTGGTCAGTGCCCTGGGGCTGGCCTCACCCATTCCTGCAGGTTGTGCGTCCTCCTACACCCCAGTGAGCTCTCTGTCCAGCCACCCCCTCCTCAGAGCCCCAAGGGGCCCTCTCCCACTGCTCAACACTGATTTCCTTCCCAGCCAATGCTGTGCCCCCACTCCGGGGTCAGTCCCTCCCGGAGGGCAGAGGATCCGTGGCATCACGAAGTTGAGGAGGGAGGTGCAGGCTGAGGAAATCTCCCCCTGAAGCCCTGGCCCTGCTGTGTGGTCTCCACTGAGCCTGACCTGGTCCAGCTCCCATGGGAACAAAGAGCCCACAACTAAGGGGGCCGGCTCCCACCTACGGCCAAGACCACCCCTCGGAGGAAAGGGTCTGCCCACCGGCTCTCAGGCCCTCTTCCTGACACGGACATGTGCAGCCAGATAGGAGCCACCAACACGTCCAGCCCACAGCACCTGAGTGCCTGCTGTCCACTGCCAGGCGCCCCCACTGCAGAAAGAGCCGCCCAAGCCCGGGCTCAGATGCGAGCTTATAGGGTCCCAACTGATTCCACAGCTGTCTGGGAAGCAAGTGAAGCCAAGCCTGAACCCGGGCCAGCAAGCAGGTAAAACATTCCCCAGCCAGGACAGCCGCTGACCGCTCTGGGTCAGAGGGAAAGCACCTGGGTTTGGCTTCTCGTCCACCCACATCAGCACCCCTGAAGTCCACCAGCAATAAGCAGGGGACCCAGTCCTCTCCCACCTGGAACCTAACCCCAGAGGGCCCTGAGATGACCCTAAAGGCTCCCCCAGAGCGGTTCCCTAGCCTGGGCCGTGATGGGGATGCAGCTGGCCCTCTGTCCCATGCTGCCCCCAACTGCACGTCACCTCCTCACCCTGCTCTTCCCTCACGAGGTGCGGGAAAAGGTCGGTGCTTTGGACACTGCTCGTCCATATTCCAGTCAACTACCCTCTGATCCCCGACACACCAGCGTCTAGTCCCCGGGCGTCAGGCTGACGCTCTGTCCCACCTCCTGGGCTGTGCGAGGAGGCCCTGTCCCTGCAGCTGGCCTGCCCCTCCCTCGGGAAGGTATTTAGCCAGCCTTCCAGCATACGTCCCTCTGAAACACGCACCGTCCCTCCGTCCCCGGACCCTGCAGCCAGCCCAGGTCTCCTGCCACAGCGGGGCAGCTCACTGCTGCCCGGCACTACAGCTACGACTACGACCGTACGACCGTCCACACGGAGAGCCGTGCAGGCACGTGCGTGTCCCAGTACCTTCCCCGGAGGTTTTCGACCGCCGTTTCGACGCCTTTGTCGTCTGCAACTGGGAGACCTCAGTCTGAAAGAACAAGAGGGGGGGGGGGGGGGGGCTGTCAGCGGGCGTGGTCAGAGAGTCTGCCAGGCTCAGCTGGAGGAGGGGCGCAGCGCTCCCCAGCTCAAGCCCCTGCCCGAGGCTGAGGTCGCAGTATCTGCATCGTGTGTGGCCTGGGGCCGCGCCGAGAGGAGCCCCCTTAAGCCTCTGCTCGAGGACAGATTGCCCTCTTGAGGGCACGTGGGCAGCGCTGTGAAGGTCTACACTCCATGTCCCGTGAGCATGTCACAGAGCACAGCTCACCTGAGCTCCGTGGGAAGAGCCCTGGTCTGCGCAGCTCTCAGCCGCCACACAAAAGGGCCCCTGCCGTCCACACCCCCATAGACACACCCCCCAAGCTGCCTGAGAGGTCTCACTGGATTTATAAAAGGGACCCCTCGGGGGCCCATGGTGGCTCCCAGTAGCCTGGCACAAAGTCTAACTACTACAGGAAGGGCGACCGGAAAGGGGTCGGCCTGGCCTGGCCTGCACTCCCACCCTGTGACACGCGGTGACCGTGGCCCAGCAGAGCAGGGAAGACACCCCCACCCCACTCCCCAGTCCCTCCAGACACATGGTGCCCCTAAGGCTCATCCCCCCTGCACCCATGACATGGTCCCTGTGCACCACAGACACTGCCGGGGAAGCAAAGTTCAGAGGTCCAGATGCCCGCCCAGGGAGTGGACATAGCAACAGCTGCACCATTACAGCCACGACTGGTGCGTCCACCCCACACCGAGCCCGCACTCTCCCGGCCACCCCGAGGAGCAGGGCGGGCAGGCAGCAGGGCCCTCTTGGCTGTCTGCTGGGGCGCCTCACTGTGGTTGCCATCACACTTACCTCCACCTCGGCCTTGGTGTCTCTGAGAGGCCCGTCTGCTGGCTTCTTAGACCCCGCTCCTGCGCCTGCAGACTACAACGGGAAACAGAAAGACAAACTCTTCCAGGTTGGGAGCGTGCCAGCCTGTTACACCTACAGACTGGGACCCCAGACACTCGGCTCAGTGCTGGATGGAAGGCGACAGAGGCCAGACAGACGGCTTCCCAGGAGGAAGGACTGAGGCTGTTGCTGTTGCTGCTAGAGACTGCGGGGGGCGGCCAGCCCCACATCCGAGAGTGAGCCCCAGGGGGTGGGGACAGTGAGTCCCAGGGCAGGGGGACAGTGAGTCCCAGGGCAAGGGGACAGTGAGTCCCAGGGCAGGGGGACAGTGAGTCCCAGGGTGGTGGGGACAGTGAGGAGGGAGGTGCAGGCTGAGGAAATCTCCCCCTGAAGCCCTGGCCCTGCTGTGTGGTCTCCACTGAGCCTGACCTGGTCCAGCTCCCATGGGAACAAAGAGCCCACAACTAAGGGGGCCGGCTCCCACCTACGGCCAAGACCACCCCTCGGAGGAAAGGGTCTGCCCACCGGCTCTCAGGCCCTCTTCCTGACACGGACATGTGCAGCCAGATAGGAGCCACCAACACGTCCAGCCCACAGCACCTGAGTGCCTGCTGTCCACTGCCAGGCGCCCCCACTGCAGAAAGAGCCGCCCAAGCCCGGGCTCAGATGCGAGCTTATAGGGTCCCAACTGATTCCACAGCTGTCTGGGAAGCAAGTGAAGCCAAGCCTGAACCCGGGCCAGCAAGCAGGTAAAACATTCCCCAGCCAGGACAGCCGCTGACCGCTCTGGGTCAGAGGGAAAGCACCTGGGTTTGGCTTCTCATCCACCCACATCAGCACCCCTGAAGTCCACCAGCAATAAGCAGGGGACCCAGTCCTCTCCCACCTGGAACCTAACCCCAGAGGGCCCTGAGACGACCCTAAAGGCTCCCCCAGAGCGGTTCCCTAGCCTGGGCCGTGACGGGGATGCAGCTGGCCCTCTGTCCCATGCTGCCCCCAACTGCACGTCACCTCCTCACCCTGCTCTTCCCTCACGAGGTGCGGGAAAAGGTCGGTGCTTTGGACACTGCTCGTCCATATTCCAGTCAACTACCCTCTGATCCCCGACACACCAGCGTCTAGTCCCCGGGCGTCAGGCTGACGCTCTGTCCCACCTCCTGGGCTGTGCGAGGAGGCCCTGTGCCTGCAGCTGGCCTGCCCCTCCCTCGGGAAGGTGTTTAGCCAGCCTTCCAGCATAGGTCCCTCTGAAACACGCACCGTCCCTCCGTCCCCGGACCCTGCAGCCAGCCCAGGTCTCCTGCCACAGCGGGGCAGCTCACTGCTGCCCGGCACTACAGCTACGACTACGACCGTACGACCGTCCACACGGAGAGCCGTGCAGGCACGTGCGTGTCCCAGTACCTTCCCCGGAGGTTTTCGACCGCCGTTTCGACGCCTTTGTCGTCTGCAACTGGGAGACCTCAGTCTGAAAG